TGGACCAATCACAAAGGACTGCGCCATCTGACCAATCACAGCAGTGAGGGCTCACGGAAAGGAGGGGTTTAGAGAGACTGATTCTTTGAACTGCTTCGCACGAGCCGTTTACGAATAATTTTGAAATTAGGTAAATAATCTATAAATTAAATAAATTTTTTGAGAAAACTAACGTGTTTTTTGATCTTGCATGCAAGGCATGCAAAAATGGCATAATAGGCGCACTTTAAGTAATGAAAAGGTTTTAGCTGTAGTTATTGGGCTCTGCCTTGTGTGTTTGTCAGTCTCACTGACCTGATAGCTGTCTAGAGGTCTCTGTAGTTTGGTGGTTCTGGTCAGTTTGTCTGCATCACGCCGCACCTGACGCAGCTGAAACACTCCTCCAGTGCTGACGTCTCTGCTGGGATGAAGCTCTATGGACGAATCCTCGCCCTGCTCGTTCAGCTCCTGTATGGAGACCCACAGCTCGATCTGACGCGACACTTCACTCCACCTGTCACACACACACCCAGATGACGAAAATTAACACTACGCCACTTCTGCCAATGTGGTGCCTGGCGAGTGTTATTTTAGGCCAGACTCTGGCTATAAACGCACCTGTCTCTGAGCGTGCGTCTCTTGGCCTGCAGTGCGTCCAGCTCCCACACGGACCGGCCGTTACCCGCATACCGGTGACCCCAGACCTCGATGGCCAGAGCGCCGTCTGAGATGAACTCCAGAAACTCCTCCGTCACCTGCACCACGAAATCCTGCCAACATAAATGCAACGAAAGCAGAGCTTTACACGTCCTGAGGAGAATCTGAGTGCTGCTTCACTGTACAACACTTGATGCTACAGTGTTCTGGGTGGCTGCTAAGTGGTGGTGAACTGGTCCATGTCAAAAAAGTAGTGCACAATGTCTGTGTAATATTAGATTTACTGAAGACTGAACTTTAAGACTTGGTGTCAGATGTTTCATCACATCACTAGGAGCACTTGTAATAATAAAAAAATAAAATAAAATAAATAAAAATATACATTAAAAATAATGATAATAATAACTTATTAAATAAAAGTTAATAAATTAAATAAATTTGCATAAATAAACAAAATAAATAATAAAAAATAAATAACAAATAAAAGATTAAATAATAATAAAGAAATAATAACAATAATAATAATGTATTAAATAAAAGGTAATAAAATAAATACATTTGCATAAATAAACAAACACAAAACAAAGAAAATGTTAAATAATAATAAATAAATAACAATAATAACTTATTAAATAAAAGATAATAAAATACATTTGCATAAATAAACAAAATAAATAAATAATTCAAAATAAATAACAAAGAAAATATTAAATAATAATAAAGAAATAATAACGATAATATTAACTTATTAAATAAAAGTTAATAAAATAAATAAATTTGCATAAATAAACAAAAAAAGTAATAAAAAGTAACAAAATTTTTTTAAAATAATAATAAAGAAATAATAATGATAATAATAACTTATTAAATAAAAGATAATAAAATAAATAAATGTGCATAAATAAACAAAATAAATAAATAATAAAAAATAAATAACAAAGAAAAGATTAAATAATAATAAAGAAATAATAACAATACTAATAACTTATTAAATGAAAGGTAATAAAATAAATACATTTGCATAAATAAACAAACAAAAAACAAAGAAAAGGTTAAAAAATAATAAATAAAATAACAATAATAACTTATTAAATAAAGTTAATAAAATAAATCTGCATAAATAAACAAAATAAATAAATAATAAAAAAGAAATAACAAAGAAAAGATTAAATAATAATAACGATAATATTAACTTATTAAATAAAAGTTAATAAAATAAATACATTTGCATAAATAAACAAAACAATTAATAAAAAGTAACAAAGAAAAGATTAAATAATAATAAATAAATAAATAATAACGATAATAATAACTTATTAAATAAAAGGTAATAAAATAAATTAATTAGCATAAATAAATAAATAATAAAAATAAATAAATAACAAAGAAAAGATTAAATAATAATAAATAAATAAAAGAAAAGTAAGAAACATCAGTTTGCATAAATAAAATAAAATAAAAACGTTATCTTTGCATTTCACCTCTGCTCCATCTTATTTCCTAATCTAGCTTTCTAATAAATCTGGCATTGTATATTTACTATGAATATTGTTGGCTCTGTGATGAATTGCTTATGTTCCTCTACTATCAGATAAAAGCATCTGCTAAATGCATAAATGTACATAATGACTTCATATTGATGGGACCTTTACAGGGTTATTATTGTTACCATTATGAACTAAAAATAAAACCATAAAAATGTCATTACTTTAAATAAACTAAACATTAACTGAAAATAAATAAATAAATGAACTTTTTTTAACTAATAATAACTAAACCTGACACTGAAATAAAAATGAATACAAACTATATAGACATATTAAAAAAACCAATAAAAAACTAAAATTACTAAAACTAAATTATTAAAACTTAAACGAAAATAAAAACGTTAGTGTTTTTACCCTGCAGTGGTCAAAGCGCACAGTGAAGTGGGCGTCGGCTGTCTGTGAGGGGGGCGTGTCCGGGCTGACGATGGGCGGAGCCACAGCGGGCTCTGATTGTTCCCAGAAGGTGTACTGACAGAAGACGAAGTTGGAGAGATTGAGAGGAAGACCAGACGCCTCTCTGATCCGCACCTGACACGAAACACAACACTTCTCATTCTTACTACTACAGACACATAAACCAGATTTTTACTGTTTTACCACAAACATGCTCATATTATTTGATTGTGTAAAAATAATTATTTTTCATTTAAACATTCATAAATTCACTGTTTCACTGATTAGTTTATCACTTTCAATCCAGTCTAACTGATGCTTTACTATGGTGACATTTAAATCAGGACAATTTGCACTAACAATGTTTAATTTATCAAAAAATTTAAAATTAAATTTGCATGGCATAAAAACATGATTAGTGAATATAAAAGGATTTTTCTGATTAAAAATGTGATTTAAAAAAAACTACAGGTATGCGAATTTTCCGCTCAAGTTGAAATTTTTTAACTTGCGCGGAAGGCGCATTTGAGGCGAATATCGTGTGTTCGCGGCAAACGCATCGCGCATTTCGCGTCACCTGGCGCGAATTCGCCTCTATTCGCGTCTTTGCGTTGACTTTGTATGTAATCTACTCACGCAAATAATTACATTCGCGTCTGGTGTGAACACACTGTAACAGCCAGCTCACCACACAGACGGCTGCTCACCTCCCCCTGCTGGCTGATGATGGGAACGGCGTACTGCAGCTTCACGTCATGAAACAGACACTCCAGGAAGACGTTTGCCACGCCGATGAGATTGTGATTCTCCTGCGCTTCATAGAACGGATCGCCCGCCTTACTGTGCAGCCGGTTCACCTGCGAGACATGCGGGAAAAACAGACGAATCAAACTAAACTAAACAGGGCTGCTGCTGTACATTTTAGACATTTTAAGACGAATAATTTAAGGAATGAATGAAGAAGAACTTTATCAAAATGAAGTGAGTTTACTATTAAAACAAGAACAATTGTGGGCCGATAGGGTCAGAAAAATAGAGAAAATAATTCAACAAATAAATAAGAAAAAATTAATAAATGAGAAAACAACTAAATTAATGAGTATGTATGTTTATATATAAATGAATGTAAATAAATAAATGCGAATAAACAACTAAATAAATAACAATATACGAGTGAATATGTGAGTAAATAACCAAAAAATTTAAATTAAGGAGTAAATAAACAATTAAAAATTAGTATATAAATAAACAAATGAGTAAATAACAATTTGTAACTAAACAACTAAATGAGTATATATGTTTATATATAAATGAATGTAAATAAATAAATGCATAAGTAAATAAGGAAATAAACAACTAAATAAGAAAATAAATAAATAAAAATATACGAGTGAATATGTGAGTAATTAACCAAAAATATAAATAAAGGATTAAATAAATAACCAAATTAGTAAATAAATAAATGAGTAAATATACAAATAAAAATGAGTATATAAATAAACAAACAAATGAGTAAATAAAAATTTGTAAATAAACGGCTAAATAAATCAATAAAAATAAACAGGTGAATGAGTAAATAATTAAACATGTAAATAAATAAAAGAGTAAATATATAAATAAATAAAACATAAGCATATAAAGAAACAAATTAATGAGTAAATAAAAATAAGTAAATAAATAAACAAATAAGTAAATAAATCAATAAAAATAAACAGGTGAATGAGTAAATAATTAAACATATAAATAAATAAAAGAGTAAATATATAAATAAACAAAATATAAACATATAAAGAAACAAATAAATGAGTAAATAAAAATAAGCAAACAAATGACTAAATAAATAAACAAATAAGTAAATAAATAAATAAAAATAAACAGGTGAATGAGTAAATAATTAAACATAAATAAATAAAAGAGTAAATAAATAAACAAATAAGTAAATAAATCAATAAAAATAAACAGGTGAATGAGTAAATAATTAAAGATATAAATAAATAAAAGAGTAAATATATAAATAAACAAAATATAAGCATATAAAGAAACAAATAAATGAGTAAATAAAAATAAGCAAACAAATGACTAAATAAATAAACAAATAAGTAAATAAATACAAATGTAATGATCCTCGTTTGTACGTTGTTTTGAATAAAAGTGTCTGTCAAATCAAACAAAAACAGGGTTTCTGCAGGTTTTGTGAAGGTAAATTTAAGACTTTTTAAGACCAAGTTAAGAAAATTTAAGAAACAAGTGGAAGGGGACATGAAGAAATTCATCAAAATGAAATGAGCTTATGATTAAAACAAGAACAAACATCTTTTAATAGGGTCAGAAAAATAACCTTTTCAAAGAGAAAACAAGTTTGATTTTCCCATTGGCAGATATTTGTTCTTGTTTTAAGCATAAACTCACTTCATTTTGGAAATGTCTCATCATTCTGCATCTCAAGTAAATGTGTCTTGATTTAAGGATGTTTACATATTTGTGCTGGAAAACAAGACAAAAATATTGAGTAAGATTTGAGTATTTTTTTTGCAGTGCACGCAACATTTAATGTTGTGACTTCATGAATTCAATACTTTCTGCTCTGATTTAAGACCTTTTTAAGCCCTTATTTTGTGGAAGGGAGAATCAAGACAGAAACCCTGCAAAAAGTGCTTTTTACACAAAAAACTTTCAAAAGTTTGGGGACAGTAAGATGTTTTTGAAGTCTCTTCTGCTCACCAAGGCTGCATTTATTTGAACAAAAATACAGAAAAAACAGTAAAATTGTGAAATATTATTATAATGCAAAATAGCTGTTTTCTATGTGAATATCTGTTAAAATGTAATTTATTTCTGTGATCAAAGCTGTATTTTCAGCATCATTACTCCAGTTTTTTATGGAAACTGTGATACATTTGATTTTTCAGGATTCACAGAAGAATAGAAAGTTCAAAAGAACAGCATTTGTTTGAAACAGAAATCTTTTGTAACATTCTAAATGTCTTTAACTGTCACTTTTGATCAATTCAATGCATCCTCGATGAATAAAAGCGTTGATTTCTTTCACTCACCACCTCCTGTGCTGCTTCTCTCCAGTCTCTGTAATGGTCTCTCATGTCCACTAGTTTGTTCTCTAGTTTCTCAATGGTCCACACCTGCGTTCCCTTCCCTTTACGTCGCACCTGGATCGCTGGTTCACTGACTATTGCGCCACGCTGTGATTAAAATAATTACAGCAATTCAATATTACAGAGGAAACATAATACAGCAACTATCAACTTCACTTAAGGTTTGCTTTCTAACAAGCAATGCATGAAGCTAACAAGTAATGCATGAACTGATAAATGTATAAATACAATGTAAGTTGCTTTGGATTAAAGTATCTGCCAAATGCATGAATGTAAAAGTATATTTTTAGGTACTCTAACTGTTTTTCACCATTTTTAATTCATGTTGTCATTCAATTAATGTGAGGTCATAAACCTGCATGCATAATGATGATAAAAGCATTATAAATTTGGTTTAAAATAACTAGACTGCTTTCACTGTTAGCCAACTACGTATTTAGTGAAGACACAGCTAATGCACAACCATAAACGAAAGCACTTAATATAACTCCTGTTCATTTGAATAAATAAATAAGTAAACAATAAATGAGTAAATAAACAAACGAACGAATGAATAAACGAAAAATATAAATAAATAAATAAATTAGTAAATAATGTATAATGAATAAATGAACAAAGGAATAAATAGATAAACAAGTAAAAATGTCAATAAATAAATAAATAAAATAAATAAATAACTAAAACAATACAACAAATAATGAAAGAAAAATGTAAATAGATAAAGAAATGAGTAAATAAATAAATAATGATTAAAAAATAAATAAACAAATGAATAAATATATAAATAAGTAATCAAGTAAATAAATGAATAAGTAAATAAATAAATATATAAAAGAGCCAATAAACAAATAAAAGAAATAAATATATGAAAGAATAAATAAATAAATGAGTACACAAACAAATAAATGAACTAATGAATAAATGAAAAATGTAAATAAATAATTGAGTAAATGAATAAATAAACAATATAGATGTAATAAATATAGACTGATAAGTATGACAAATTAATGAATAAGTAAATAAATAAATGAGCAAATAATTGAACACAAACAAATGAGATGAATAAATAAATAATAAATAAATAAATGAATGAATAAACAGGAATAAGTACAGATAAATAGATAAGTAAACGCATGAGTAAATGAATAAATAAATAAATAAATAGCACATGAATAAAAATATATATGTAATAAATATAGATTGATAAGTATGACAAATGAATGAATGAATAAATAAATAAATGAGCAAATAATTGAACAGAAACAAATGAAATAAATAAACAATACAAACCAACAAATGAAATGAATAAATAAATAAATAAACAAGAATGAGTACAGATAAATAGATAAGTAAACGCATGAGTAAATAAATAAATAAAAAGCACATAAACAAAAATTGAATAAAATGCTCGTTCTCTTTCTATTTTCTGCATTTCACGTCTGTTCAGCTTGTATGCTGATCTAGTTTATACTTGAGTCTCTGTACTGTTGGTTCTGATGACAAATATCTTGAGATGCTCCTCATTTGTGCGTCTGCTTTTATAAAACAGATAGTTCCGGTCCTTGATTCTGATTGGCTGAGCCGCGTTCGAAGCTAGTGAACGTTTCTCACCTTGCGGTTGGCGCTGAGGTTGGTGGCTGGGATCTGCAGCGTGACCTGATAGTCGGTGAGTTTGTGCATCTCCTCGGACAGAAAGTTCGCTTCTCGCACGAGAGTGTTTGCTCGGACCACCTGCTCACGCAGCCGAGACAGACTCTGACGGAACAGCTCGTCCCTGAAACACACGCATGCGTGTCTATGGAGAAATCACTTCATTTTGAAAACAATACGGATCTGTTCCAAAACCTAGTGAGCTGCCTATGTAGGCAGTATTTTAAGGCATCACAGGCACAACAGGAAGACTGTTTCAAAAAGGAAGACGGCATGATTATGACTTCTAAGCGCCTTCTTTTGGCCAAAAGCTTCAAAGGCTGAATTGCATGTATCATTTATGGTGAAATCAATCCCATAATACACTGTGACCAAGGTTATTATTGTTAACTACTGTAAGTCTATTTATAAAAAAAAAAAAAAAAGAATGTGTTATTATAGGGATTTATAGATGTGATAATCAGGTAAATTCAAATAATTAATTAATTATTAAAAATAAATTATAATAAATTTTTATTGTATTTTCATTATAAGCACTGAGAACACATGCAGCTAAATTTATCTAGTTATAGGAATATATAGATGTGATAATCAGGTAAATTCAAATAATTAATTAATAAAATAAAATTATTCTTTATTTTTATTTGCATTTTCAGCAATAATCAGCAATGAGAATACAAGCAGGTAAACGCATATTGGATTTAGGTTTGGGGATGTACAGATGTGGTTAATATTTCATATAATGATATTGAGAAGCATCTCAGCATCTTAAACTGTGCCATGCATGTCATTGTGTGTACTGTGTGTGTCAAAGGTCAGGTGTGTACCGTTGTTGCCCAGCGCTTTCATCATGACCTCCATCTGTGCGAACTCGTAGCTGTAGTCCTGCTCAGACGAGGCCTGGCTCGCCGTCTCCACGTCGGCCTCCACGAAGCTGTCGTGCTCCGGCTCCTTCATTCGCTCGCGCCGCTTGCGCTTCGGGAGACTGATTCTGAGGACGACATTCGCTCGGATGAGTCTGACCCCCGAGAGAGACGCCTGTGCGTGTGCAGCTGCAGCTCACCTGAAGAAGTGGTTGTTTCCCCACAGGATGCGATCGCCGTGCCACAGGTGAACCCTGGAGTAAACCATCGTCCCGTTCACACAGGTCCTGTCACAATCAGACACAATACCTTGCACAAATAAGACACAAGGCGCACATCCCATAAACCACTGCCAGTAACAGAACAATATAAAAATGCATATAAAATACTATGCATTTTAAAGTTTTCAGAAAATATTCAGAATTATGATCTTGTTTTATAAAAAAATAAAAAATGCACAACTGAAATAAAATATTGAAAAATAGCTGTTTTAGTTAGTTGCCAAGGCAACATTTAAATTTTTTGTAGTTTAAGTACTAAAATTAATAAAACAGAATAAAAATGAATAAAGATATTATGCAAACATATATATGTTTATATTCAGCAATATTCAGAATTATCAGTGTTGTTATCGTTGACTAAAACTAAAACATTGACAATAATTGAAATAAAATAAAATATAAAAAAAACATAATTTTTTAGCAAGTTGCCAACATTTGTAATTTTTGTACTAAAGTACTAAAATTATTATATATTTATACTATGGGGCCGTTGAATGCTTGAATCTGATTGGCTGACGAACGTTCTGAGGTGTGCAATTATTTTCAGGGAAATGCACAGCGAACGTAGTTCCAGGCAGCTCTCTTGACCGCATTACAGTTCCATATCACTTCGCATAGTTAACTATAATAACGGAAATTAGCATACAGTACCTATACAGCACACAGGAATTACTGCAATCACACGTGTGATTAGCTTTGCTCTTTTATTGTTATAGCTGCACATATATAGTGTATGTAAATGATTATATATTAGAAGTAAATGACCATAACCATATTTTTTTGCACAGTTTGATATATATATATATATATATATATATAAACACTTGATTTTCTTTCTGCAAAATACATTTCTTTCCACTGATTTTGCCGTGATTTTAATTTGTTTAAAATATTTTAATTTGTCTTTTTTTCCTTCACCAGTAACTTCACATCCATTTTATCTTTATTTGTCAGTTACAACATATTTTTTTTCCATTGGCACCATTCATCTTGCATACATTGATTTAATTGTAAATTATTATTATCTAATAAACAGCACTGAAACTGTGCACAGGTTTGTGTTACCTGGCATTGTCTGCCGGCGTGAGCGCGACGTCTCCGTCAGACGTGACTTCCAGCACACAGTGTTCAGACTGGATCCCGATGCCGAACAGCTGGATGTCCTGGGACGTGTCGGCCCCCACACGCGTGTGATCCTGAACCAGAGCAAGCATCTTGCTTGGGTCAACAGCTACACTGAATGAATCATTCTTCTTCAGAAAGAATGGGCTGAATCTAATAAATCAGTCTGAATTGGTCAGACTGGTTTAACAACTCAGTGAACCGAAAACCACCTTTTTAATGTCCGCAACTTCCAGAAATGATTCATCCATAATGCAATTTCAGTTTGTTTGCAAATAAATTTTGATAGCAGTCATGCATGGCAAAGAGTACGGAGTGACACTTAAAAATGAATCAATTTAACAACTGAGGCATAAAAGTGGAAATAAATAAATTACTTTTTAAATGGACAAATTAAGAGACATATTTAAAACTGTTTATTTAATGTTTTAAAATATAGCTAAATAAAACAATACATTAAAAAAAGTAAAAATAAATAACTGTTTTATAATTAATAAATAATAACTATATATGTATTATTGTATATAAAATAAATAAATATATAAAATAAATCTTTATTTATTTTATAATATATAATATAAAGTAAATTATTTATTTTATAATATAAAATAAATAATTAAAGAATGAAGTACAGTACTGTAGTGAGTATATGAAAAATAAATAAAATATTTAAAACTTTAATTCGTTTTAACAAAAAACTAAATAGTATTGATTAATTTAATGTTTAATATTTTTTAACTACATTTTAAAGTATACATTAAACAGTTTCTATTAATTTGCCCATTCGAAAAAATGGACAAATAAGCTATTTTTATGTGCCCCTTGAGATAAAACATAAAAGAGCATCAGCAATCCTTGCACCCCTCGTGCAACCGTCCACTGGGAATGAATGAGCGACAGTAACAGTGATGCAAACCTCACTAATGATGTCTCAGTGCACGATCAATGTACCTTCAGATAGTAAACCAGCAGCTCATTGAGAGCCGGATCAGCGTTCAGGTTGACCAGGAAGCACTTGTCCTCTCCGACCTTGATCCCTGACGACTCCAGAGAGATTCCCATGCTCTCCAGCTGCTTCTGACGGTCCTGCAGAGACCAATCACAGCGAGACGACAGCTGTCAATCAAACCTCACATGCTCAGGTGAGCACTTTCTCTGATTAGTTTCTGTGTGTGTGTGTGTGTGTGTGAGTGTGTGTGTGAGTGACTTTTCTAGGAATTGCTAATACACCACATATCGTTAACATCTCTCAGTTATGAGTAAAACAGTTACACTATTTGAGGTGTCATGTGCATTTGACTTGTTTATGGAGGACTCTTACTGCTCTAACTGGATCATTTAAAAAATTTGATTCCTAATGAAATTTGACTTGTAATGTGAAATCAAATAAAGTATATAAAATGTGTGTGTGTGTGTGAGTGTGTGTGTGTGTGTGTGTGTGAGTGTGTGTGTGTGTGTGTGTGACACCTGTGCGATCTCCTCAGTTTTCCGGAGTTTCTCCTCCCAGGTTACCGTCATCTCCTGAATGAGTTTCTCAGACTCCTGGAGTTTCTCCTGCAGCTCAGGAGCCTTCAGAGACTGACCGACACAACATAACAAACGTTATCATTAACAGCTCCTCATTTTAGTATCAGTGATATACTATTGTAGGTTTTAATAATATTTTGAATTAGTTTATTTTTATATTTTACATATTCATTTTAATTTTAGTTAAAATATTAGTTTAAAGTAATTATACAATACATAATGCAGCTAACAGTACAGTACTGTAGTGAGTAGAAAAAAAAAAAAAATATATATATATACAATTATTATTTTCCAAATAATATTTTACATATTTATAATATACATTTTTCACAATATAAATAGGATCTTCATACATTAAAGTATATAGGTGCCTTTTAAATGTTAGGATGGGGGTCCCTCGCAGGAGTATGATCCTATTTGGGGGTCCATGGCAATGAAAAGACTTCTTCACCCTGTATTAGAGCGTAGCTGTAGCCTTCAGTTCAGATATTCTCCCATAATTCCCTGCTCACCTCAGCCTGCGAGAGCTGCACCTTCAGCTTCTCCACTTCCTCCCGCAGCTCTCTGATGATGCGGGCGTTGGGATCCTCGTTCACCACGGCGTGGTTGACGATTCTCTTGGCTCGGTCGGCGTAGCGTAGCGTCGAGAGTGTCTCCTCGTAGTTGTCAGCGGCTGGGCTGATGGTGGCGATCATGGCCGTCTTACTGTTGCCACCCAGATTATCCTGTAGAAGCAAAGGAAAAGAGTTCGATTTCGAGTTCAATTCACCTGCACATTTAAACAGTGTTCGATGAGCTCTGATGAACATCCTCACCTTCAGCAGCCACGTCAGCACTGAGTCTCTGTACGGCACAAACTTGCTCTTGCCTTTTCCTGCAGACTGATCAGCGAGTGCAGAAATAACACAGCCCAGCGTTGTCAGAGACCTGGAGACATACAAAAAACACCACCATCAGAAAACACCACAGAAACAACAGAAAACACTACAGAGACATCAGAAAATACCACAGAGACATCAGAAAATACCACAGAAAAAACAGAAAACACCACAGAGACATCAGAAAACACCACAGAAACATCAGAAAATACCACAGAGACATCAGAAAACACCACAGAAAAGATACGCGTTCACTGCCGGCCAGATCAACCAGACTGATCTTACTCACTTTCTCACCAGAATTCTGCGTTCACAATCACACACACAAACACAGACATAAAAGAAAATATTGGAATCAACAACATAATGAATCTGCACAAAACGTGTGTCTGAGATCATTACCAGGGTCCAAAATTAACACTCTACAACCATATTCTGCTAAAATTTATTTTAATAATTTAATTTAATTTAATATTTAAGAATAATAATGTGATGTAAGTGACGTGAGTAACTGAAATAAATCTTATTACTAAAGAAATGACGATTTCTACTACGACTTTTACTAATGAAGTTAGTATGAATAAAGTTATTCTTGATGTTGGACTTTTTTTTCTGAAAACAAGACAATAATTTTCGAAGTAATTAATCTAAGTAAGAAAAGCATTTTTTGCAACGTAAAAGGGCAAAAAATATTTTAAAAAATAGAATTGAAAATGGAAATTTAAAATTAATAAAATTATAACAAATCAAAAATATTTAAAACATTTTTAATTGAACAAAATAAATAAATAAATAAATGAAGACTTTAACCCAAATTAAAAAAAAACATTTAAAAAAATTAAGTGATATTTAATAATTAAATAAAAATTTAAGTAAATAATTTAATTGAATACAAATTAATATAAATAAACAAATAAATCCACAAAAATAGGACATTAAATAATTTACTTAATTATAACTATTAATAAATTCAAAAAAATATTAATAAAGTTATTCTTGCTGGATTCTTTTGTGATGGAAGAGAAATGTCTCAATGACTTATGCTGCATGTCACAAATAAACAATAAAGTTCAATAATTCTATTATCATCAGGGACTTTATTGTAATAACAAACAATGGAAGTTTCGTTGAGTTTAATTATAACTATAAATAAATTCCAAAAAATATTGATGGATTATTTTGTGATGGAAGAGAAATGTCTCAATGACTTATGCTGCATGTCACAAATTATTATTATTATTATTCCTTTATTTAGCCAGGAAATCACATTGAGATATTGTTATCTCTTCTTCCAGTGAGACCTGGATAAATAAACAAAGTTCAATAATTCTATTATCATTAGGGACTTTATTGTAATAACAAACAATGGAAGTTTCGTTGAGTTTAAATGTGGTGAACCCTGATAGTAGTGCAGCACTGACCCCAGACTGCAGGTCATACAGCGTCTGCGTGACGATGACGCTGAAGACGGCGTGCGATCGGCTGCTCTCCTCGTTCATGTTAGTGGCGGCTACTGTGCGTGATTTATTCCCCTCCGACATCAGAGACTCAATGTCCTGCAGGAGGCGCAGATGAGAGAGAACATGCAACTAAACTACATGCTGGACTCACAGCAAACAACAAACTAATAGTTCACTGTAAGCGGAGACAGTGAGTGAAAATGAGCCAATCTGGACAGCAAACACATTTCTAATCAGAACATAGCTTGGTGTGTATGTAAAAAAAAACGTATGTTTTTTTGCTGGTCGAATTACAAAGAACTTTACAGATATGACATATCTGTCATATATATGACACACTGTCAGTCAAAAGCATTCTACGGAATTCTGGGAGAAACATCTGAAACAAAATCGATACTTTAATGTAACATTTGAAACGGAGTTGAGAAGAGTCATGTTCACCTCGAAGTTCATCACAGCCAGCTGAGACAAACCGTCCACATACGGACCCAGGACTTTATGCTCTCTGACCTTCAGAGACTGTCTGCTGCTGTACGGACGGAGGAGAGAGAAGATGTGTGAGGAAACATCATCACAGATCAGAGGTTTTATTAGGACGCTATTAATGTTCCCTGGACACTGATTCAAAATCATCCTTTTGTTTGGGCCTCAAGCAGAGCATTTGATTTGATTCGGCACCATCACATACAAACTGAACTTCATAAAATAAAATAAAAACTTTGATAAATGAAAAAAAAAAAACGGCACAAAATTCAAAAATATATACGGCACAAAAATAGAAAACCACTAAAAACTTCATAAAGGCAAAAAAATAAAAAATAAAATAAAAATAAAAATTGTAAAATTTAAAAATGAAAAATATAAAAAAAAGTGAAGATTTTTAATTCCATAAAAACAGGAAGTGACAGAATTGAAGTTGAATTTAAGTGAAAGCGCCACCCCGTGTGTGAAAGCATGTGACAACCAGAGAAAACAAGCAGGATCACAGTCAATCAGTGCATACAACCACTAAAAATCACCAAAACACCAGATTCAAACATATAATTATATATATATAATAATATTAACCCTGTGAAGCCTGAGATATGAAATAATAGTCCGATAAATCTAATGTTTT